CCCCTTCCCCCTGCTGGCGCCACCACTGCCACCCGGGCACGTAAAATATATTTTGCCCTTTTTGAGGGGGCGCCTATTCAAACGAGGCGCTTATTCACACAGGGCACTTATGAAAACAGAGTGGAAATTGAGGGGGTGCTTATGAAAATTCAATGGGCGATTTTTGAATGAAAAAAATTATATAAGGACATTCGAAAACCGAAGATTATGAATGGTTCTGATGCAGAAAAGATAATCGTCCAGAGGGCATGGCTGGTGACAAGAATTTTGTAAGTTTCAACAGCAGATGAAATTAGTGGTGGTGTTTGTGGTGGTGGTGGTGGTGTATAAGCTTGTTTGCCATCTGCCAATTTAAATTAGCAGGATCATTGCAGGGCTTCTTGCAAACTCACATGAAAACGTGCTAAAGGTGGAAATTGTCAGGAAGAGAAAAAGAGAAGTAGAAAAATGTAAGAAGAGGAATGTTGGAAAGATACTGTGCAGGGAGCTCTCATTTGTCCAGGATAAAATATCCTCAATTTGAAATTGACATAAGGAGAAAATGTGAATCCACTCCGCAGCTCAAATCATGCCAACCACAATCTCAGGATTAATTAGATTATCGTTTGCTAAAAAAATCAATCACAACATATTGTTTTAAAAAATGAATAAACACCGAGGGGCGCTTATTCGAACGGGGTGCTTAAGACAATTTTCACGTTAGGAGGGTCGCATATTCGAGCGGGGCGCTTATTCGTGCGAGTACGGTATTCATTATTGTTATTGTTAATATTATTATACTGTTATTATTACTATATGAATGAATGCGAACCTTTTTTTCACTACAAATTTTCAAGATTATTACAGATGGTTTATGATAGAAATTTATTAATCTTTTTATTTGTTAGACAAAAGTAGGTCAGATATTTCAAATACATGAAATTTTTTTCTATAATATTATTCTATATATTAATTCAAATAAACATTTGAAATTGTGCATATTTTCTTAAATAAAAAACAGAGGAGGCTTTACAGTGTATTATACTTTTCAGTTTAAGTTTGTTGATTATATCCATATATTGATATTTCTTTTAAAAATTCACTGAGTGTAATCTTATTTTTTGTGGTGTAAAATACAGTTCAAAATGTATACTGCATACGTAGGTTTAAATTTACTTTAAAACAACCACACTTCCTGGTACATACATCTTCTAGTAGTTGAAGACAAACAAATCAAGAAGATAAGGTTACAAGTAATGTGACCAACATTTGATTTGAGGCTAAGATCAACAGCAAGGAAGCTCAAGCTTTCCTCTTCACCACATGTTCTTCAAAAAGTTGCAATAAACATTAAGTTCCTACCTGTAGTGTTGTGCTGACAGTCTATACATTGTCCATTACTTGGATCACAAGAATCACTATGTCCATTACATGTACACGAAATACACACACCAAAATATGGGTGGTCAGTCACGTTGGTACGATAGTAGTCTGCAGCACATTCCTGCAATTAGTAATTAATTTACTTAATTCTTATCTTTTATTCAATTTACAAGTATCTTGTCAAAATATATACTAACTATTTAGCAACATATTTATTAATTTATTTCATTCTCATATAACAACAGAATTAGAAAAAACTCTGTGATGCCTATTAACCATGGAAGAATAATCACTTATTTCTTGATGTATAAACTAAGTTTCATATAGTCTTAGGAAGTCGTTTTGCCAAATGCTGGGACTAGAAGGCTAGCATTAACCATCAATTAACTACAGCTAAACTTAATTGATGTTTGACATTCTAGGCCTATTGTGCAGTCAATACCTCGCATGACAGGCCTGAATATCCTAGACCACAGTTACAATCCTCAACAGCAAGAGATGTAGCAGCCCTGGGATCATAGAATTCTGAACCAGGAGCGGTAGCTTCATTATAGTAAAACTCTCCAATGCTACAAGTATAAAATAAATATTCAATGTTTAAGTAAAAAAAATGTATGTACTATTTATTATATAACTGGGTTCTATTTGGATCAGAAATTAACAGCCATGCTTCATGGATCATCCTGTAAAAATAAATTTACCTTAGAGAACAAGAGGACCAAGCAAACAAATAACATTTTTTCAATAGTTCACTTGAATTTCTTTGTTGTACACTGGTGCTATATGAAAATTATTATCAGGAGGCTTGCAGAGAAACTGCTTAAATACCATACACGAGAAACTCTTGGGATAGTCAGCGATTAAACCAACAAATATGGGATGTGCAACCCCCTATATCACCTTTGCTTGTTAAGCAACAAAAGATAACTGACCTGGACAGGTGTTCATCAAAGAAGAGAGTTGCTGAAATAAGAAAGAAGTCAACACGGCTTAATGTTTTCATAAAATCTTGTCTTGAGATCTGTTCATCTGTGGTTTCAGTCCTCCAATTGGTTTCTTCCATTGTGATAGAGACAGGAGTTAAAGTGGCATTCAGAACTGGATCAAATGTGTAAGTGTATCTATT